GCCGTCTCCGTTCTCGCCCTCCGCTCCAGGTCGCTGCAATCCGTCGCCCCAAGTGCTGCAAGTGTTCCGGGGCCTGCGCCTCTTGTTGCAGTGCGTCCAGCTGTCCCCTCGGCCCTGTAGCTGGGAGTATCCTCTCCACAGACACACCAGGCAGCACAACTCTGACCTGGAGGTGGTTGTCACTGACGACAATCTGGGAAACTATGTCTGCACGTGCCAGGTATGAAGCCACGAAGCAGACCTGTGTTTGCTTTTCTTTTGTCTTTTTTTGTTGTTTTTGCTATTTTTTTGAAAATAAGGACTTTTTTTTTGTCTGTGCTATTTCTCTCATCTAGGAGGGGGGGCCGGCAGTCAGAGACCCCACCCCTTGCCGCAGAGCAGCCTATTACCTGACACTAGAAGCTCCCAGTGTCGAAAAAGTATCAACATCCGAAGGTCGTCATATCCTGGCCTTGTACATATTTGCCATCTTACTAGTTTTAAGTTTTGTCGCCGTCCTTATCTTCTTTGTGAAACGGCGGTGTGGGATTGCCCGTAACCTACCAGATAATTCGTTGTCATCGGGAAAGGGGCGGGACTTGCTGGGTTCCTCGGCCACTCCTCAATCCCCCAGCAGCTCCAGCCTTTTCTCGGATGGATTCCGGATGGCGGAAAAACGAAACGGGACGGCGACTTCGACCACAACAACCACGCTCCTTAGCAACCATGGAAACGGTGGGCACAGTTACAGCGACACTCTGATAAGCAGCAACTCCAGCAACGGCCATGGGAATTCTCTGTACGCCAACTGCAACACAAGCGGCAGCGGGAGGCGGCTTGGCCCTGAATTTCTATCGCCAGATATGCTGGACAGAAGGACGGGGGAGCGGGAGAGAGTGAGGTCTGAGGGGGGAGAGAGAGAGTCGGGGGAGGGGGAAGAGGTGGAGGAGGGTCTGAGGGATGGGTTGGGGGAAGGAATGAAAAGACTAGAAGAGGAGATCTCCAGCTTTACCATGTTTAAATCACCAGCACCGCTGGCAAGGTGTGAAGAAAGTTCGATATGAAAATGTTCGATACCATTTTGCATCCTCCAAAAAACCTGAAAACTACTGGAATCAGTGCAAAGTGGCTACTGCCAAATGCCTTTGAATACGAGCTGTGACGTGAGAGAGACTTCAGAGATTTATGAGAAATATAAATTTATGTCCAAGCATGTGAGAGAGACCTGTTATGCACGGAGAGAGCTGCAGGACAGAAATCATATGACAGTGTTGGTATAGACTTCTTATAATGAGTAACTCAGGATGAGAGCTGTTGCCGATGTACATATAAATGTAAATATGAGCAGTGTGAACAGGTGATAATGGACTTGAAACTGAGCGATTACATAATTCTAATATTACAAAGAATCAAAGATGAAACGTCTACATCTGTAGACATGGAAAAGCCATATTGTCTTTCTCCTTAACCCCTGTTGTTGTTTGCTCTCATTTGCTTCTCCTGGAAAGGAAAAGTGCACTTCTCTCTCACCGCCTGTCTCTCTTTCTCTTGCTGTCTGTGCTTCTTTCTCACACACACCACTTGAATCCCAAAATTCGATGGGTTCAAAGGCACCAAAGGACTGCTGAGCCATAGACTGCCCGGTCAGACTGCACCGGTCCTGGGCCTCAAACAGAGAAACGTCACTGACAGAGATTTAGAACCATAAATTCACTGAGGAGCCTTCACATGGACTGCAGTGACTGTGACGGGGCTGTCCCTCTCTGCTCTGCCGAGGATGTGCAGAGGCTGATGGGTTCAAGGTCCGTCAGACTTGTGTCACTGTGGAAAAGTAGCTGCAGAGAAGACGCGAGAAACTGAATGCTGCTTTCTGTCACTGCTCAGATTCACCATCACTGAGACAGAAGTCGTTCAAAGGATATGAAATTCATTTCAGTCTCTAGGAATGGACCTTATAGACTCAAAGACACCATCACCTCATGTTGTGAGTGTGGATTTTAACATAAAGTGTATTGTTTTGTCACG